TTTGCTCTGACTTGTATCTTCCTTGATAGGTGACTAAAAATGGCTTGTTGGTCTAATTCACCAGCAATAACGACAACTAAAGACAGCCCCCTCCTCCTGCATCCGTCCCATCTCTGTGGCACCCACCAAGCAGGGTCCCTGCACTTCTCCCCTTCCCTCCCACCACTAGGATGCCTTTGGTGACCCCCCTCAACATCCCTCCTAGGCCTCTGGGGTAACCCCCTCAGGGTGCTGAGGTGATACAGAACACCCCACTTGCACCTGGGGTGGAGGGAGGCAGATGGGGCTGGGACCCAACACCCCAAGCTGCCCAGCTCTCCCTCCCTCTGGTTTAGGAGCAGCAAGACCCTTGTGGGAAGCCTGGTCCTTGAGACCCCCATCCTGCAAAATCCCTCAGAGGCTTTGTGTCCCACCAAAGCAAGGCCAGCTCCTGGGAGTGGTGAAGTGAAGCACAGGCACTCTCACTGGCAGGATGGTTTCCCCTCGGCCAGGCTGGGGACAGGGGTGTTCCCCGGGGTTTCCATGAACCTGTGGGGCTGATGGAGCCAAGGAGGGGACCCGGGTGACCCCCGCTGTGCCCTGCCATGCTGGGTGAATGCCAGTGGTGGTGTTTTGCAAGGCAGCAACACGGCCTCCAAGGGCACAAGCGGTGGGACCGAGAGCAGGTCCTGGAAATCCGGAGGGGTGGGAGCAGAGCTGCGTTGGAAGGTGCTGAGCTGCTGGCAGGAGGCATCCAGGTCCAGGCAGGATCAGCCCCGCAGGGGGGATGGAGTGACTCTGATGGGACCAGCACGGTTCCCCAGTTCAGCACCACTGGGATTTACACACGTGCTTTGCCAAACGCTGAAACTGAGGAGCGGGGGCTGGGGCTGTGCTGGATTTGGGGCTCGTCGTATGACCTTTCCTTGTGGACATGATTTCCTGGGCAGAGCCAAGCTGGCGCCAGGGCTGTGGGAGCAGGGGTTCCCCAGTCCTGGCATAGCAGGGAGATGTGACCCAGGGCCATGGGATGCTCGGAGTGTCAGGGTGGTGCTATGTCCCCCAAAATTG